GCCAAAAAAAAAAGACTAAGAGCAGCACTAAAATGACAGGAGTTTCCACATAAGTAATCATTCAGTGAAATCCTTAGTAAAATATCAGAATGGGTGCATGCAAACAGTCTTCTGCTACTTGAAGAATACCTCCAGATATTGAGACCATGAAAGAGTTAAAAAGAATATATATCCACATATTGAGAATTCAATTAAGATCTCCAAAGAACAAACATGGAATAGGTTTGAAATGCTTGCCAAAACTGTCCAATCTAACTGCAGTATAAGAATGAGGACGACATTTTCCTCCTCTCGAGAGAGAATAATGCAAGTATATTCGGCTTGATCGCAATAGTTCAATATTGATGCTACTGTTCTTGTAGCAAATGATTGATGGCCAAATCACTTTGGATCCAGTGTCCACATTAAAAAAGGAAACAGAAAAGCAGAAATACAGCTATTCAGCATTAAGAAGAAACAACAATACCTCAGCTGGTTCGAACCATACATCTGGATTCAATGTATCCCCATATCGATAGTAAGACTGAAAAGGTCGGGAGGAGGAAAAAAAATTAGAAAAAAGAAAGAAAAAAACTTTAACGGATTAATTTTACGAAGAATGAAATAACTACCTTTGGTGCAGAAATAACTTTATCACGAAGGCTGGCAGAGCGCTCTTCGAGCATTGCTTCAGAAAATCCAGTGCCTGAATGACAAGAAATCACATTCCCATGCTACATGAACCTTTGGCAGGAAGCATGACTAGATGTGTTCAATAACTTATTACGATAGGATTTCCGGCTTGGGCTTGATTGTAACTAAGTAGTCGACGTTTGCAACATAGCATCCCCAGCTCGAATCCTATACTGAACTATAAAAAAAAAATTCGAAAGAAAATGTCTCTATAATATTCAAAACCATGAAGTGATTTATATCTACCAATTTTGCATATGCTCTGATACTCTTCATTGTGCTCATCATAGCACGCGAGAAGGAATGCACCATAAACTCCTGCAGGCGAAACATGCAAAAGTCTGAAATGATAGTTTCCACAAAACAAACTAGTTAGATAGAGTGGTATATCAGCCTAGGAAACAGACGAATGTGAAAAATGCAACAGAAATTATATGTGATAGGCCATTATAAAACTGTAGATAGAATAAAAACATGTTGAAATAATCAACACAGATCAGTTGTGGAAGTGGATAAACATACCCAGAAGTGCATTCATAAAGCATCTGTTCCAGTAGTTACCTGTACGTTTTCCTTGACCATGAAATGCAGCAATTGGAACCAAATCAAGAGAATCCCCAACACTGTAGAGATCACCATACATCATTGATGTGCACAATGTCAGACATATCAAAAGAATGTTTTGAAGAGATGAAACTGAAATTGACATTTAAATATTTAGAGAAGGCTAGCATGAACAGAAACAAATGCAGACCAAAACCATCTTATTTTTCATTTTTACCCAATAAAGAAAGTTGAACATTGTCCTTATCATATGAAGACCATAAAGATAACCCAACCAGGTGGTTCCAACAGATAGGTCCCATATAGAGAGCCAACTGGCGAATACTTAACTGGTCAGAACGGTCAGAACCAAGCAACTAAAGTGGCCAATAATTGAGTGGAGATGCCAGTAAGACTAGTACACGGTAGAAGTTATTCTCTCTACAAAATAACGATAAAAATAGTCCGGACAACTCTGATCCAAAAAGGAAACTGACCTCAGACTTTTGCAAAAAATTGAAATACTAAGCCGATAACCACTGATTCCCAGAATGCAGCAAAGCAACCCTTTGGACAAATTTTACATCATTTACCTGTCCATATAATCCTTCTTCAATTTCAGCCAGTTATTAGACCTCTTTGCCGGCTCATATGTTGCATCTCTATCTAATGCCTTGATGATCAATCCTTCACAACTGCACCATTGGCATATACGACATTGTAACATCAATGAGAACAATAACAAATCTATGCAAATGGAAGAATTGAGTTCCCAAGGTTAAAGCAGTAAATCAGCAAACAGCACGACAAATTTACAGCAAAGCCTAAAATTTTTTTTGTCACTATTTTCAAGTTTCTGCCCATGTTCATGCACAAAATTTTTGGGAAAACTAACAGAATAACCCCAAAGAAAAGTAATCAACAACCAACATTGTAGAAAACACGAAAAACCTTAGATATGGCAAACACTTTTTCTATTGATGAAAAAATTACATTAGCAGTAGCTTGTTCGAAAATTTCGAGAAGGGCATATTTGCAATTTTAATTTTTTTAAAAATCCACTCATCATTGGAAAAGTCAAAGGAATCTTTTTCAATTTGAAATTAAGTTTTGGAGGACGTTTAAAAAGACAAAACACCATTCCTAAATTACATGAACTATTTATAGTCCAAAGTCATTTTTACACACATAAGGTTATTTTATGGACAAACGTTTTGCTGTAGTAAATTAAATAAGTTCACCATTATTGTGGTGTATTCAATAAGGATTATCAAACTCTTATATAAATTAAAAGCTGTTATATCAATACTTGAATGAAAAATCCAAATTAACACTCCCATAGAGCTACTAGACATGGAAATCACCACAGGTATCTTCATGCACTAATAGCATCATTTTTACTGGAATGTAAAACAAATAGAAATCTTTTGAATGAAAAATCTAATAACTATTTTAGCAATTGATAGCAATTGTCACAACTAAGAATCTCAAAGAGAAAGACTTAAAAGAATACCCAATAGTTTCTACAACCATCAGATCAACTATCAAGTACAGCAAAACTGTACAATAAAAAATTTCTAACCAATTTAATGACAACTGGGCAATAACCTTCATTATATTTAAATGGGGATATACCCTTGCATATAAGTGATGGGCAAACGAGGGGAAAACCATGCCACACTCAATCCTCTCCATTGGCTATTGAGGCCCTCTAGATATATCATACCCATGAGACACATGAGAAAATCATCAAGCAACACATTAATACCATGACATTTGATAATACGGCAATGCAGAAAGTTAATTGGGAAAAATGGAGAAGACTCTGGTTGATAGCACTATCAAGAAACGTTTGTATTTCTTCCAGATCATCTGACGCTATTGCAGTTGCAAACTGAAATTCACCCTCAACTTCTTGAAATGAATCATACAAAAGCTGCAGTGATGCACCAATTTCATCTATGAGATCTATTTCCTTAGTACATAGTAATACTTGTCAGACAATGTCAGTTATGATTGAAAAATTTTAACAACCTTCAAAAACTAATACAAATATACAAGCACTTCATACTATAGAATATGTACCTATTGATGATATGCATGAAG